AAAAGCAAGGTTGCTAGTTTTTACCAATTTTGAGATGAAGAATGAGGTGTCATCAAGAACAAGAATATGGATATAAAATCATATAATACTAGACCAAGAAACGAATTTTAACCTGAGGGAGCTCCATATAGAGTCGTAGTACAGAATACCAACAACTCTTCGCTTCCTTCCTTTTTGAGGTTCTCCACCACGCTTCACAACTGGTAACTGCTTAATTCCCTTGGCCTCCATCAATTCCTTGGCAATTACCAACTCAGTGTCTGGATAACAAATCAAAAGGCCTCGCTCTTGCCCACGGTAGCTTATCCCTCGAGTACAAATGGAGGAAACTGGGCAGGTGTTGACCTGTAATGACTTCAGTTAGCAATATTCAGAATACAAGAGAGAATCCACATAACCTGTAATGACTTCTGTTAATTACATACATTTGTGTGTGTCAAATCACTCTTAGATGTATCACTAGATTTCTGAGACAGATATCTTTGGGCATCACCATTTGTAAGTATCCCCTCCAGAAAGTCTTCATCATCAACAACAAGCACACATTTCTGATGGTTGTCATGCATACATTTTACTGCTTCTTTTAAAGTGACAACCATTGAGACCTTTAAATACTTCTTTGACATGGCCCTAGCAACCTGACAACAAGCAAGGATGCAAAAAATGAATGCAGTTAAATCACAACAGGAACATCAAATAACACAATGCAGCATGGCATTGATGAGATAAAACAAGCAATCATACAACAAAGGAGGAAATAATACCTTAAGATTCTCCAGAAGCATATCTTCATTGACTGCTTCATGGTCAGCTGTACTTTCTATGATAGAGAGTTCCTCAGCAGCTGAAACAGAAGAATAACCTCTTGGGCTACTCCTTGCATCAGGTGCTTCAGTCTCCTTATTCTGGTTTGTGACAGAAGGAACCCATATTGCTAATCCAACAGCTCCCTATTTACAAAATGGACAGATAATAATCTCAAGAATTAAGAAAGTGTAAATACTCAGATAATTTCACATGATGTCCAGACAAAGTACATGCAACAACAACATAAAGATGTGGTACACATGAATGGCTGCCCAAAGGAGGGGAAACTGAAATCAGACAAGTACATAAAGACCTACCATTAGAGGAAGCAAAATCCTGTAATCTTTTGTCAACTCAAACAGAAGAAGAACAGAAGTCAGTGGCACAGAACAAACTGAAGCTAATGTAGCAGCCATTCCAACCTGCAGTAAAAGTTATAAATATTAAAATGAGAATACTTAAATCAAGTAAAAGTTCACAGACATATGAAAAATAACTGAGAGCAAACTTGACCAGTGCATATGCTTGTGGCTCTGCAACAGCAGCGTTTCCTGGAATAGCTGAATTGATAACTTTGGCAGCTGAGCCTCCAAATACAGCGCCTACAGCAGCACCAATCATTAAACTTGGAGCATAAAGGCCACCTACAAGTCCAGATCCCTTACACAAAGCTGTAGCCACCACTTTGGCTGCTGCTAGTTGAGTTAACAACCAGATTCCAGGAGCAGAAGCACTCTTCCCAGTATGGAGTATTTCATTAACATTTGTAAAACCCCAATATAATATTCCAGGATATTTTAGAGCTATAATGCCAGCACCTAAACCTCCTAAAGCAGGACATACAACAACAGGAAGCTGAAATTTTTCCTTGATAAATTCAAATGCCTCGCTGAACCATGAAACCAAGCGAGTTAAGGCTACACTGACAACACCACATAGCATGCCCAATATCAGGTAAAGAGGCAGCTCTGCAATGCAACATAAAAAAGACAATTTAGAGATGATTACACTTGCAATGCACGAAAATAAAGCATAGATACAAAACAGTACAAAAAAATTCACTAAATTATTCCATAAAACAACAAATTACTTTTGAAAGGAATATCTGAAGCTTTAGGTAAAGTGATCAACATACTAAAGCATGATAGATTCAAAAATCTGTCTCTATCTAGGATCAGATCCCTTCTGAACTCAGATCAATACAAAACGAAATACATCAAGAAGGGTGAAATACCAGCAGCAGATTTCAGATCATAGGCTGGCACAGTGAATGCTGATTCCACCCCAAGTACAGCATTAGAAACAGTAGATGATACAACTGAGGCCAAAATTATCATTGCAGTCGTAAATGGAGGTGAGTTTTCAGCACGAAGAGGTCTCAAGACAGTTTCAATAGCAAAGAAGCAACCGGCAACAGCAGCATTAAAACCTAAAGAGCAGCAGAGGAGAAGAAGGAAAAATATCAGGTATTTCATCCATAAATATAATAACGAATGCAAAGATACCTACTCAAAATCATCTGGAACACTGGACCGCTGATGCTAAAGAAAAAATTCAGTCAATGTAATCCCTCTTATAATGCTTAATGCTTATTATTGTTCAGTGATATAGTGCTCAGCTAACACAGTACCAAGAACAAGCCTCAGCTATCAATAAGCCAATTCCTAAGTGATCAGCCTGGCAGTATCACTACCATTTACCATCCTGCCAGCCAGTCTAAATATTCCCATCCACTATACTTGAATTATGAAGCTCACAATCACATAGATGTCTGAATATTTTTTGTGCAAAAATGTTAAACTTTGCCAAGTTCATATGGTGATGATCAATTACAAAGTTGACAGCACTGGTTGTGTTTCTTTGAGCTCTACTGCTAGGAATGAAAGGAAAGCAAATGTCAAATCATAGTG